TTAAGCAAAAGGTAGTTTCTAATAAGTCAAAAGATCTATATCTTCAGTTTATTGTGTCTGGGATTGCTTTCAAACACTGTGACATGGACTGGTTGAACTGTGTTTTATTGTACTGAAGTAGCAGAATGTTTGGACATGGTATGTAATGATGTAACTATTTTTGGACGCAGAATGAGAAAGTATTGGCTTCCGAGACTGATGCTGCTCGTCACGCATACTTCAAGAATGCGGATAAATATTGCAAGATAATCCTGGGAAGAGTCTCACGAAGCCATGGATGCACGTCTTGTTTAACCTTAACAGTTCTTGCTTTGGCTGTGGGTGCTGCCGTTCTTTTGTCCCCCGGTATGGAATCTTTGGATTTTAAGAAGCTCTCCGAAGTTTTCAACTCTCAGTACTGAGTACTTGAGAATATTCCGCATTACTAGCAGTTGGTTGCTTCAAACAATTTTTGTTTCAGCCCCACTCATTCACAATGGGCACAGTGAACCAATAGCCTCATAATAAAGTGCTAAATGCGGAGATTGTACACTTAGTTCAAATCAAATCCTGTTCAGGCAACAAAGGATAGCCGAGGTCAACAATGGTTTGAGGTTTACTTTAGTTAGACTATTTTATAATTTATTTGTTCTTGTGTTTGTTGAGTCTTACTTTTAGTTATTTATGCCTTTATATTAAGTACGCTGGCAAAATGCCAATGAGGTAACTACAGCTGTATCCTGAAGTTAATGTAGTTGTATCAGAGGAATTTTCGTGGTGCATTGCGAATTATTTTTTCTACCTTTTTCTGTTATCACGGGTTGATGGTTGTCATTTTCAGTTGCTTCTTCCCTGTTATCGATGCTTTGTTTTCCTTTAATTGAACAAATTGAAGAGCATATCGAATGGTCGATATATAAAGCAGGAAATATTTTCAGTGGATAAGTGCTATATTTTTTATATTTCAGAAACACTGATTTATAACTGTTGAACCACGCGTTTTGATCAGATATTCTGAAATTTCCTTGCATGATTGATATCATAAATTCTGTTGAACGTGCAAAAGTGGATTGCTCGATGTTCATTAATTTGCAAACGTATGACATTGAATATTCATTTTGTAATAGACAGCAGAAAAATAGGTATAATTATACATTTACAACAAAGTTTTGGTGAACTAAACTTCTAGAATTACCATAGAACAGCTGCTTTGTTGTGTTTTAGTCCAGATTTATAGATTATCATAATCTTCAGGTTCGGCATATGGGTACTTTGAATATGAACTTCTGATTTTTGAAGGATCTTCGGGTACAGACCAAGGGTACTGCATGTCAGGGTCTCGTGGGAATTTCCTGAAGTTTAAAAATGGTGCCCAAAGAATAACCCTGCAAGATTTTACACGGGTGTTTTTTGAAACGTGTTGCTAATTGTTACAGCAAATAATTTCAAAAGAGAAATGCAACCAACTACAGAAGATTTGTTATCACCGCACACAGTAAGAGTGGTAGTAGTATCAGTATACATATATTTATTTTGCTTTTAGAGGGAAGAGTTTCTCACCCGGGGAAGAAAATGAAGACAAACATGAATTGCAGATACATCTCCAGCAACCCTCTTCTATACCATCTTTTCCAAAGCCATATCATGATTACTGGCTGCAATTCACGCAATTATGGCCACTCACATTAAAACTCAGTTTTGGATGCTGTTGATAGATGTATAATTTGGACAAACTTAGAAAGTTTTGAAAGAAAGGAACTTACTGGCACCACAAGGAAATAAACAAACATACCAATCCCCCATTGAGTCAAAACCCAGGAGAGTTCTGGCCGGTTATTCTCTCCTGTCACTGCTAACACTGGCTGCTCCGCCTGCTCAAATAACCCACACTTCAATTTTCTAAGCAATGAATCTTTAGGTACTTGTTTGGTGAAAGAGTAAAAAGAAGTGAATTTCAGTGTAGAAAGAATCTCACCAAGGCCAAGAGTGTTCCGAAATGCAGTGCGAAATTGGTATAGTTAAAAGTGAGATGATTATCTGGTTTGTGGGTGCAGCATGAGACCTGCAATGAGTTGAGGAATGAAATGAGGTTATGCAGAAGTAGCAGAGAATGAGTTAGCAGATGAAAAAGCAAAGTACAGATAGTGATTGGGAAGGCCTAGTTGTGTTTTTTTGCTTGGAAGCAAAGAAGAGAGAAGTTGTCCCAATGGAGGAAATGGGAAGAGGAGGAAGAGCTTTGGGAACATGGAGGCTGAATGAGCACCTCATCTTTCTTTCCACCTCTCTCACTTTGCTTCCTTATCACTTCACTTCCATCAAATTAAAACAAAAAAAAAACACTCATCCACTACCCTTTTTTTCTTGTCCATTCAACTTATGCTCATAAGTTCAATGCAATTATTTCCTAAATATTATATGCTTTGCTCATGTTTAGGGAATTCTTCATAAAAAAAAATTAAATTACCTTTTGTTCTTTAAAAATAATATCATTTAAATAACCATCATATCATTAAATTACCTTCTCTTCAAACTTAAAAATATTTCAGGTGATGTTTTAATTTAATTAATAGATTTTGTAATCTAAAAGATATTCTAGCACAAAATAAATGTGTTTGAACTTTATTATTATTTTTTAAGTAAAATAATATCTTTTTATTTAAAAAATACATTTGTAACAACTTTATTTATAAATAGAAAACACAAATAAAAATAAAATATTTGAATTTTCTAGTTTAAAATATTGTTAACTTTTAATTGAATTATTTATTTTCTATATTTCTTATCTGATTTAAGATATCCAATTTTTACCGAAATGTTCAATTTATAATTTTAGTTTATTTAATTAAAAACATTAATTAATCAATAAAAAAATTAAATATATTTATAAATTAAGTGCATTTTTCAAATGTAGAATTTATTTATATATATTAAAAATTTTAAAAAGAAGCTAGGGGGACTGATCCCCTTTGACAAACAAGCCAACATTTTTAGTTTTTCTCGTCTCGTTTTTAGTATTGTTTAATTTTGTTGTAGTTAAATAATGATGAACATTCTATGGTTGAAAGGTGATTCTTTTTAAATACAACTCTTATAAATTACAAAAATAAACTCCTTTCGACTTTATTTACTAAACTACACTCATTTATTTATTCTATTTGTCAATAATTTGGTTAAGTCGAATTCTTGGGAATTGAATTTCGAGTTTGATTTTTTTTCAAGATAAAAAATAAAAATGTAAACATATAATAAAAAAATTATAATATTTTTAGGTTTTTAAATAATATGAATATCAAAAATAGATTAAGTAATAAAATTATACATTTAAATTAATTAAACACTTGATAATCATTAAGCTAACAAATTGAAACAAATAGTATAAAAGGTCGTTCCCAGTGCTATAGACCTAACATTACTCTAATATCAATTTTACATAATTAATTTTGTTTTGAATTTCTTGTCTTCTATGCACCATGCTATCAATGATCTCATTAACCAAATTTAAATTTATATCTTTCATACAACAATTATAATTATTTTATTTATATAGTAACAAATATTTAAATATTAAGTAATATAAATTTAATATTTAAGTACTATTACAATTTATATCTTTAATTATAATTTTATTGTAATAGTACTTAAAAGATTAAATTTATATTACTAAATAAAAATATCACAGTAACACAGCTCTTAACAATATTTAAAAATCTTTAACATTGATTTATGATATTTCAAAATAATTTTTATAGTATGGAATGGATTAACAAAAATAAATGTATTACTAGTCAATGGTTTTACCATCGTCTAAATATATTTTTCATGACACTAATAAAAAACATTTTAAAATAAGTCGCGAATCTCATATCATTAGTGTTTTGTGAACAGTATCTTGCTCTATATTAAATACATTAGGTTGACTACATTTATATGTCAATTTGTAGATTTAAGAATGGACATTATTTATGTTTAAGAGTCATTTAATTATTATTCAACAATAATTAAACTAATGTGCAACACATTGTTTTAATTTTCTATATTGTTGAATAATAGTTTAATTAATTAAACATGAATTATGTGCATTTTTAAAATAATAAATGGAGTAAATAAACCTAATAGACACAATACATTGTAACACTAACACCATATATTAATGAAAAATGTTTCTTTAACAACGTTTTCTTGACACAATTTTGACGTCACGTGCTGGTTGTCTATTGACTGATGTTTAAAAAAATAAATTAATATGCAATTGATCAGGCAAGGGTATTATGGGAATAAAAAAATACGAAATTTCGCGCTTTCGCTTCTTCTTTCATTTGCATTTCGCAGTTTCGCTTTCGTCTGACCTCTCCCGTTCCCTCATCTCTCTTAGTTCTCTTATCTTTCTGGTGTTCAAAGACTAACCTTCTTGCTAAACCCTAAAGAATCATCTTCTCACTGTATTGGACGTCCGTCTTCTGCAACATTGAAGCCCTTCACTTGGTGTTTTTTAGAAAGTAGAACTGCACGAACCCTAACCAACTTCTCGACCCTTGTTGTTTTGTTGGTGTTATAATTGCAGATCCAATGGCAACCCAACGACAACCCTCTTCTTCGTCTCTCTCCACCATTTTCACTTTGTCTGGAGCATTGCTTTCACTCTCACGGGTCTTCTCGATCGAAAGAAATTTTTCACTCGAGTTGGAACTTGTACATGTTTTTTATATACAAAAGATCATGATTATAAATGTTGGGTAATATGTACTAATAATATATTATATGAATAAAATTTCAATTTTGATACAGCACCATACGTTCTCTAATAGTGTTGTTCGACCATATATAATGAAACTTTTATTTGGTTATGGGTGTTTGGTACAAAAATCGATTATGTAAGCGACCTTGATAGGCCTGAGTGTTGGTGCCTAAAAAATAGATCCAATTCAATTGAGTGTTGGTGCCTAAAAAAAGAATCACATTACACAGGTGCCCAAAAAAAGATCAAATTCAATTACGTAAAATTTTTTTGGGTACTTATGTGCTCACAACTGACTCCTGCAGCACAAGTTTTTGTACAAAACCATATTTTTGTTCGTGTAATCGTTTACAGGGTCCTTGTAATCGATTACAATGGCTAAAAAGGCCTACACTTGATTACCAAGGCATAATTTGAAAGGTCTTTGAGTCTAGATTCCAACAAAATAAGAATCAACTCATTTGGAGTTCGATGGAGAAAGTTATGAGCAAAACAACCAGCAAATGTCAGAGTTGGCAGGAATATATAAAGCGTTAAATTTAAGGAATAAACTGTACCTACTCAGATGTCCAAAAATTACAAATTAGTAGTCATTGGAAAGATTTTTGATTGTAGTTTCTAATAAAAAAAGAATCACATCATTTGAAGGTCGGTGGGAAAAGTTATCATTAAAATAGAAAGCAAAGGTCAAAGTTGACAGCATGTTAACTTGGTCATGACACCAACATTGGTTCTTTCCTCCACCAAAGACCGCCAAAAACCCAGTTTTCAGACTCTACTCACACTTAAACATTAAAAAGAACTCTCATCCATTCAAGAAATATGAAAAAATAACGTAAATTTTTTTTGGCTACATATGTGCTCAAAGCTGGCTCCTTCAGCACAAGTTTTTGTACAAAACCATATTTTTGTTCGTGTAATCGTTTACAGGGTCCTTGTAATCGATTACAATGGCAAAAAAGGCCTAAAATTGATTAGCATGACATAATTTGAAAGGTCTTTGAGTCTAGATTCCAACAAAACAAGAATCAACTCATTTGTAGTTCGGTGGAGAAAGTTATGAGCAAAACAACTAGCAAAGGTCAGAGTTGGCAGGAATATATAAAGCGTTAACTTTAAGGAATAAAATGTACCTACTCAGATGTCCAAAAATTACAAATTAGTAGTCATTGAAAAGCTGTTTGAGTCTAGTTTCTAATAAAAAAAGAATCACATCATTTGAAGGTCGGTGGGAAAAGTTATCATTAAAATAGAAAGCAAAGGTCAAAGTTGACACCATGTTAACTTGGTCATGACACCAACATTGGGTCTTTCCTCCACCAAAGACTGCCAAAAACCCAGTTCTCAGACTCTGCTCACACTTAAACATTAAAAAGAACTCTCATCCATTCAAGAAATATGAAAAAATAACGTAAAATTTTTTTGGCTACATATGTGCTCAAAGCTGGCTCCTTCAGCACAAGTTTTTGTACAAAACCATATTTTTGTTCGTGTAATCGTTTACAGGGTCCTTGTAATCGATTACAATGGCAAAAAAGGCCTAAAATTGATTAGCATGACATAATTTGAAAGGTCTTTGAGTCTAGATTCCAACAAAACAAGAATCAACTCATTTGTAGTTCGGTGGAGAAAGTTATGAGCAAAACAACCAGCAAAGGTCAGAGTTGGCAGGAATATATAAAGCGTTAACTTT